TGAATCTCCGTCCTCTCGATACTCTGCTCGGGCTGCTTTGGCCAACTGAAGGTGCTTTTGGTATTTTTCGCATATAGCACAAGAGCTATTCGGGACTGAAACCTCTGCTGAATGTCTAGACGTTTTTATATGCTGCATTGCTGAAATACATGTCTCACACTCTTGATGTCCCAGTTTGACCATTGAAATATTAATCTTTTTCAGTATTCGGCAGTAAAACTGGTAGCTTACATCAGTCTCGTTTGTTTGGTTATAGTTCCGGTGCATTTTCTTGATAGATAAGTCCGACGGCAAATACAACCGATTCGGAGCGTGCGTGCGAAATGGCCGGATTGTACTTAGCGATGTGTGCTTTGACGCTGCTACTCTTTTCAGTGCTACGCTCATATTTGCCTCGTTTGAGAGCCCTTGGTCCGATTTCTTCATCATCGTCAGCATCATCTACAATAGATAATGTTTCTGTAATATAAAGGAAATAATTAATGCATTAATTTTAATCCTATTCTATATTATTTTCATTAAACTCCTACCCGCAGTGTTGCCCGTATCCCAAAGTATTTAGATAGAACTTTCTTCGAACAAGGGGTGCTTCATCACTAGCCAGCGTTCGAATATGAAAATTGTACGAGTGGTGCTTTCGCAAAGTGTCATCGATGAATACATTACGACTCCGCCTTTGTACGGTTGTACGCAGAACCCGTTCTCGGATGAAATGCTTCTGACCAGCAGCGTCCAAACTCCAGAAGATTTTATTCATATCAATCCTGTCATCTCTGCAGACCAAATTGCCGCACTCTTTACTGCACTCGCAATCCTCCCAAATTACGACATGAGCAGAGCGTCGTCTTTCCGCAACGTCACACTTCCGGATTTCTTTTTTCGCGCTCTTATTCTGCCTTCCAGTTGTCTTCCTTTCATTTGAATCTGACTCGATATCAGAAGATCTGCAATCTAAATCATTAACCAGTTTTGCTGAACCATCTCCCGCTGACTCGTCACTTGGGTCCTGCTCTTGCTCCACGGACGGCAAAGTAGCGAAATACGACCGAAAGAGTTGTAGTTTCTCCACATCATTACACGAAAACAATTCACCGTCTTTGGTCACCACATCAAATCCACTGCACTCTTCGTCGGAACTTTCATCACTACTTCCACCGTAAATCTGGACTAGATTCAAAGCGGACGTCATGATTTCGTAAAAAGGAACGGTAAAACCGAGCGGTCCTTGACAAATTTAATTTTGTTTTGATTCAAGCTGGTAGTATTTGACAGATGCCTGCCATGGAGCGTTGAAACAGAGTGGGACTGGTATGCGATTATTTTTGTGAATGACGGGCAAAATAATCGCATATCAGCCATTTGCAACGATGATGGTTTCCTATAGTGACACATATCACCTTCTTAATGCTTCAGTATGCCTCAAACGATTAATTCTTGGTTGTTAATAGAACTTCCTTGATGAAATCGGCTGCTTCATGCAGACTGAACAAGTCTGATTATAGTATCAGATTTGTTCTGTATACAGAGGAACTTATTAGAAACTTCTCACCAATAAAGTAATGATCTTCTAGTAAATTTTGCATATAATTTTAATTTTATTAATATTTATTTTATTTAAGCATAATATTTTGTTACAGTCAATCAGTATTAGCATACAACACAAGAGATTTAATATTACTTGCTCGGTTTTGCGTAAAATAATCAATATTTATTTTGCGTGTACCTAATTACCTTTGAAAGTTTTTTTTTGTGATCTCAAAATTTTCCTAGTTTGGTTAGAAGTTTCGAAGCTAACGCATGTCCACAGGCCTAATAGAAAGATAGACAGAAAAAGTGTATCATGAAGAATGGTTGCATGCAGGGTTGCTTCCACTCACTTGCTATAGATGAGTGATTTTCTGTCGTTAGATGTTGTAATGGAGATTTGTGTTGTTGGATGCGGGAGGAGACTGGAGGGCGGGTGTTTGACGCATTGAGATTCCTGGTTGCGTGAAATATATTTGTGAGAATATCTTTTTGAGATTTTAGTAGTCACGTTTTGTTTGTAGTTTATATTTTATTTCTTTCATGTAATTATCGTAAATAATAGATAATTCATCCATATATTCAATAATAAATTTACGAATGACTATAATTTGGATACCTAACAATTGGACATAATCACTAGCAAGAATAGTGTTCGCCTTCGAAAATATCGATACGTTTTTTCAGGGTTGTAGTTTTGGTTTTCATCAGTGGTCCGGCTCTGATTGTGAACGATTTAGGTAGTATTTTAGGTAACTATTTAGCTTTTAGCACAACTTTAGTAGCAAAGTCCACAAAAGACATAAAATTGGAGGCGGATTCTGGTACGGAATTACAGGCTGCTATTCTGAGCAACTTATCTTCATAAAATTAAAAATTACATTTAGGTATTAGTTAGCAAATGTGGATAGTAAGTTAGATATGTTATGGTATGAACTTTTGCGACGTTTTTTTAGTTAATTATTCTTGAACGCAGTTAAGTAGGAGATGAGGAAGAAATATAATCATTTGGTTTGCACCAAATACAAACACACACACACAGAGAGAGAGAGAGAGAGAGAGAGAGAAAACAACACACACACAGATACACAAACACATCATGACATTCGACAAGGCAACATCCAGACATTAAAACTAATGTACGAATGAGAAGAAGACATAGACAAAGACAGACCAGCGACTACCGAGCCATAAAGATTTTCAAGAAGATTTTGATTAATCAAGATCGTGAATCCGGTGTTTAATTGGTCACCAGACTAATCCGTCCGGCATCGTAGTCACCTGAAAATTTTTCTCATCAACCCCGATCATTGCAATCCTATGAGGATAAAAAAAAATAAAAAATAATAAATAATAAAGACATAATAATGCACGTAAATGAACAAAAGATTTTATTTAAAGGGTTATACGGTCAAAATTTGGTCAATATCAACTTGACGTATTTCTTTCAATTTTGCATTTAAAAAACCTGAACACCCCTCATTTTGAAGGTGTGTGTGTGTGTAGAATGTTGCTCCTATTTTGATTTTGGAATTCACTCTTCAGTTGTCAAAATGCCGTCCAAGCAAGAAGAGCAGCGTATCAAAATTTTGCTCGCGCATCGCGAAAATCCGAGCTACTCGCACGCAAAGTTGGCAAAATCGCTAAAAGTTGCCAAATCAACCGTTACAAATGTAATTAAAGTGTTTGGGGAACGTTTGTCGACATCCAGGAAGTCTGGATCGGGGGGAAATCGAAAACCGGAAGCCGCTGAGACGACAAAGAGAGTTGCCGGTAGTTTCAAGCGAAACCCTAACCTCTCTCTCCGAGATGCCGCAAATAAGCTGGGTGTATCGTCTACAACCGTGCATCGAGCCAAAAAACGAGCCGGAATATCGACTTACAAGAAGGTAGTGACTCCAAATCGCGATGATAAACAAAATACGACGGCCAAAGCGCGATCCCGGAGGCTGTACACGACGATGCTGACGAAGTTTGACTGCGTGGTAATGGACGACGAAACCTACGTCAAAGCCGACTACAAGCAGCTTCCGGGACAGGAGTTTTATACGGCAAAACGAAGGGGAAAGGTAGCAGATGTTTTCAAGCACATGAAACTGTCAAAGTTCGCAAAGAAATATCTGGTTTGGCAAGCCATCTGTACCTGTGGCTTGAAAAGCAGCATTTTCATAGCTTCCGGGACTGTCAACCAAGAAATTTACGTGAAAGAGTGTTTGAATAAACGTCTGCTGCCTTTCCTGAGGAAACACGGTTGTTCCGTACTGTTTTGGCCGGATTTGGCATCTTGCCATTACGGTAAAAAGGCCATGGAGTGGTACGCCGCCAACAACGTGCAGGTGGTTCCCAAGGACAAGAACCCTCCCAACACGCCAGAGCTCCGCCCAATTGAGAAATACTGGGCTATTGTCAAGCGGAACCTAAAGAAGACCAAAAAAACTGCTAAGGGCGAGCAGCAGTTCAAGGCAAACTGGCTTTCTGCGGCGAAGAAGGTGGACAAGGTGGCTGTACAAAATCTGATGGCAGGGGTCAAGCGTAAGGCCCGGCAATTCGGATTTGGAAAAGCGGAAGCCTAACTGAATATTTTTCCTGAATTTTATACTAATTGAACTTGAAAAAGAAATTTAATTTGATTTTTTAAATAAACGATTTCACCGATTTACACGCGTTTTCCCTTGACCAAATTTTGACCGTATCACCCTTTATATCATGCGACATATATATGTACGTTCAAACATATGATTCCAACTTTACTTGCTGTTTTCTCGGTTTGCTGTTTTTACATATGGGACTGATATGCGGTTAAAGGCAGTGCAGAAGTCCCATTTTTTTCGAAAGCGACCTTTTAATAGTTTTTGGATCCGCTTAGATTGATACACCGCTCTTACAAATATCATACAAGTTGAATGAGAGAAACCACTCACTTTAAATTAGAACTCAACATTTTAATTTGTTGGGCAATCACATAGAACTTTGGTTCGATTGTTTGCTGTTTTTCAGAATTTGCAGCTCAGTCGATAAAGTCACAGTCACAAAGCAAAACCATGCTGCAGGAACCTGGATTCGATTTCCGGTCCGGTATAGAAATTTTTCAGGATAGAAAATGTCTTGACTCCCCTGGGCATAGAGTATGATTGTACTTGCCACACAATTATACTAATGCAAAAATGGTACAGGCACCGAATGCTCTCAATTAATAACTGAGTGCATCTAGAACACTACGTTGAGAGCACGCAATAAGCTAATATGCGATAAGCAATAAACTTGAAATGTGAAGAAGAAGGAGATCAAATGGACTTTTGTGGTTTCTCAAATAAATTATTCACTTCTGTCTGCTTCCTATACGTTTTGATTTTTACGGTTGGCTTGCAGTAGTAATTGGATCGGGCAGAACCGCAACCAATTCAGTATTGATGAAGAACACTAATGCATTCAAAACGGAAAATTTCTTTCGGTTCCATTTTCCAACAATATTGAGATCTCACTGCTCGTAGTCATCAGGAAACGAACTTTTACAGGTTTACCCTTTTACTGTTTATTACATTTTCAATTCATCCATAGTTTGTTTTTACAGAGATGTGTGTTTAAAAAAAAAGAGGAAACGAAAAACAGAACAAATTAAAAAAAAAAGAGAAAACAATAGTTTCTTTATTGTTTTTCAGTTTTAGATTTTAGGTTCACAATTACTTTTAACCTCAATTTACACTCGTATTTTGTAAATTTAAAAAGACATTTTTAACGCTCAATGATCATGGTTTGTTTTTTAATCCTTGCAACAAGGATTTAACTTTTACTCGGAATTTTAAATGTCTTTCTAGTGTTTCGTTTAGAAAAAAAAACTTTGCTTCTGAATCATTAATACAAATCCTGCCAATGCGTCCCATTTCCCGAAAATTAATAAAAAAAATAATTGTGTACTACTAGATGGAACCGTGTCTATGTCTGTGAGTGTGTTTGTTTCGTCTGAGTGTGTGTGTGTGTATGTGTATGTGTCTGCGTATTTGTATGTATGCCGATATTATAGGTCCATTTTCCGCTCCCAGTTGTGTCGGTTCACATTTCGCTTTCGTTTGTTTCTGCTGTTGTTTTAAATGTCTACTCTTTGACAGTTGTTGAATTATCCGTTGTTTTGAATTTGTTTTTCTCCACCTCCCCCATTCGTCGCCAGTCATCGTCGCCGTCGCCGTCGTCGTCGGCGAACATGACTACTGGTGACCGTGGGCGGAGATGTTGATCTTGTGTACTAACCGTCGGCCCCAGTAGGCTTCCAGATCGAACGGGGTGAAACCGGCCAGCCGCGGCTCAGGTACACTCTTGTAGAATACTGGGGGATTTTGGCTTTTATCTTGCGTAATCTGTAAGATAGAGGGGAATAGGAAAAAAAAAGATGTTCAGTTCACGTACACTCATAAAATTAATCACATAACCAATGGAAAATATCCATGTGAATTTCACATAACTTTCATGTGATCCCATAATTGGAAATTGCACCACTACATCACATGAACGTTATGTGTCCAATGAAATCTATATGATTTCTCATATAGAATTTCTAATGCTATGTGATATTCAGGTAAAAATCATTGTTTTTGTTTTTGGAAAAATACTATGTGCGTTCCTAATAGAAACTAAGTGAACACTTTTTTCAGTGTAGGTAGGTTGTGAATTAATCATATCGTGCGGCCATTTTCCACAGAGATGGCGCTGTTCCGCTGGTATGAAGTGATAAAAATCCCTATTAAGAAATGAGAGAAGTGGGAACAATTCGCTTTCTGTGCATATTCAGGTCAAAAAAGTGAACGACAACCTAAAGAAATTAGTCAGGGACTTAGTCGTTCAGTTTTTTCCCGGAAATTATTGTTAAACAAGCTACAATTAAATAAAAATTATGTTTCCCCTTACAGTTTTACCTGTTTTACTACCAGTCCCCAGAGAGTCAAAAAATTCAAATTTGTGAGAGAATATTAGCTCTCTTTAGTTCAATTTCTCAACAAGCCATGTATTTTGATGACACTCTATTTGGGATTTCCCTCTCATAGATTACAAAATAGAGTACCTGACACTACAAAACATGTCTGGTACCTCTGGTATGCATTTAGATTAACATTCGAAGTCCCTCCTATAGATCCAGAGTGAATAAATCTTCAATAATAAACAATTTTTTTTTATTCAGAGGCTTTTTTTCTTGATTTGTTTTCCGTCGATCTTGTTTTCCGTACTGAGAGTACCAATGCTACCGATGCCAGGAAGGCAGCTCCCACACCTGGACCCTACCTATCGACCTATCAACTAATAGACCGGAGACCCACGACTTTACTTCCCTTCCTAAGGAAGGCGTTATCAGAGATGTTATGCCTCAGAACATCCTGGCGACGCCGACTGGGATTGAACCCGGGCCTTTTGGGGTGAGAGGCAATCACGCTTAGCACTACACCAGCGCGGCGCCTCTAAAAATCCAAGGCTTGAAATGTTTTTATTTTGGTTCTGGAATATGCATATTTCCCGAGGGGTGCGACACATCTAAATGGTCGAAAAATCTCACACTAGCGAATCAATTTACGAAAAATCTTTTTTTATCTCTTGCATCTAAACCCATCTACTCGCATCGCTCTCCACCTTTTTGCAGAAAATCTTAAAAAAAAACATAATCAATCGTGTTTCTATCTATTAAGCGCGAGTGCATCTCACAACAGCAAAGCAAAAATTCCTGCATCTTAGATAGAGTCGCCCCCTCGATATTTCCCCCAAATTTTAAATTTGAACAAGGGATTTATAGGAAAATGTTTTTGATAAAAAAATCAAGTGTAATCTACTTTCATAGCTCTGAGGAATTTTAGATTTCTTGTGAATCCTGAGATAGTTTTTATTCGAATTTCTAAAAAATACCAATTATTATAAATAAACAATATGGTTCACTTTTCTATTATCCCCAAGACACGATTTTTCCCGACACTAGCGGCTCTAGTGACGCGAAAGGTGACTAGTACACTGTAAATTGAGCGTAACAAGGCTATCAAAAACAACTCCCAATTGAGTAAAATTTTACTCACACGGTAAGAAAAAATATAGTTGAAGATGCTAATTTCAAATAACAAACTGTTGTGGTAATTTTTTATACGATAGATGGAGTAGTTAAAAGCATAGAGTTGATAGTTCCGTTAGAGTACGGCAGTGTGAAAATTGCATATAACTTTTAAGGAAGGTACAAATCGGTTTTTTCATCTCTCTTTACCAAACTCCCTCTTTGTAGAGTAATGGTGAGGGGTGCCTCCTCCCCCGCCACCACTGGCGAAAAGTTTCAGTTTTTATTCATTATCGTCTTTATGAGCAGTTTTAGATGCACAAAAATTGCACGAGTACATTACTATGGTGATAAGGTAAAAACTCGTTAATTTGTTTTCTCTGAAAGCATGTTTAGTCACAAATCGTGGATTTTCTGATATTCTCCATACTGCAAAAATGATTTTTCTACCATTGAAGTGGCGACATCTCTCAGATCTTCAGTATAGGTACTACTAAAATCATATAATTAATGTTAAGTACTCACAACAAAGCGCTTGGTTGGGTAGAAATTACTTGATGGTTGGAAGGAATGAATGATGTTCAAAAAAATTAAAAAAGGAAATAGACTGGGCTGTGCGTCTTCACCACTCGTCTGTCAATACTTGGGAAATCAACCAGTCTAAAGACATATAAGAAGCGTTTGACGAATGACTTTAAACGTTGATTTCTCGTGAATAGACTCAATCTGCCAAGCCGACACCAGCATCTGAGAATCCTGATGAATGTGGGCGTCTTAGTGGAATACCTGTATAATTAGAGAGAGAAGGATTAGTATTATCCATTTAATTCCACTACTTTATTTGCTTATCCTCGACAGATACGTGTATTTCGTCTACAATGTGCAGACTTCTTCAGTGTCTTGTACTAATACTCGAAGTCGAGTATTAGTACAAGGCACTGAAGAAGTCTGCACATTGTAGACGAAATACGCGTATCTGTCGAGGATAAGCAAATAAAGTAGTGGAATTAAATGGAAAATACTAATCCTTCTCTCTCTCATTATAAGCATCTGAGAGATAATTTGCTTCATCAGATGATACCTATAGTTAGTTTGAGTGGGCATGTTGCAATTCGGGAACAACCGACGTTTAAATGCATTGCTTACATTTGGCTTGTATTCCTTTGCACATGTTTCTGGGGTACGAGGTACACAACACGCTAACTTTAAAGTAGGGGCTAGGTAAAATTAAATTAATGATGAAAACTAAATTTTGAGTAATCCTGATCAGTAATCCATTGCGCGAAAAGAACCAAACGATCAATCGAATGCAATAATGAAGGACAAACGAAGGCGATGGAGCACACAAAAAAGACAGCATCAAAGGCAGCGCAGGTTGCTAGTATTTTCATCCAAAAATAAGTTAAAAGTTTCCAACGGTGAAAACATGACGGTTGAGTACTTTTAACTGAAAATCGAATTCTTTTTTTTTTTTTTTTAAAGTTGAGTTTTTTAAACTCAATGTTGAGTGTTTTTTTCTTACCGCGTTTGTTAATCTATAACCCAAATTTGGGTTAACGATTCTTAGCACGTTTAAATAATAAGGCCACGTCACGAATGTTTTAGTCACCTTTCTCACCGGGAGAGGGTATTACCATAGAGGTAACTCTAAGACTAGAAGGTCCCGAAATAACGTGCTCAACTTTTTGGCTCAGCTCTGGTACTCTCTTCGGTCCCAAGCTAATCGATTCACCCCTCGAAAAATCGGAAATCCAATAACCCCTCATTTTATCTGTCAAACTTTCATAGCGAATCAAAACAAACATTGCGTAGTACTAGAATTTCGACTAGAATGGGGTACGTTAATCGTTTGCTTGGGACCAATAGGCTAGTCAAGTAGTGAGCCAATTTAAAATCGTTTGTTTCGTATTGATTGTTGGTATTACTTATGCGTCTTTTCAGAAACATATGGGAATTCTGAAAGTGAACCATATTGTTAATTAATAATATTTGAAAATACTCTGTACTTCATAGGAAAATTCCAAGGGCATTCTGAGAAAACGAATCCGGAGCATACGACCTTGGAAATTTTTGGAGAATAATAAGGGGTGAGGGGGATGCTTTTAAGCGGATTGCAATGAAATCTGAGATTAACTCCAAGAGATCTTCAAAGGAATTCGGAAAAGAATTTCAGGAGAGTTTGCCAAATAAATTATGAGAATAAATCTAAGGAATTTGTTGCTTTGCGTTGCGTTGCATACTGGAGACTGTCATGTATCTACATTAACTTATACTAATTACTTAAGGAAAACTATTTGGGAGTGAATAGTATCCAATCAGAGTTCCGAACGGGAAAAGCATGACAATTCATATGGGCATTAAATAAACCAACGAAAGAAAATCTGAACCTCCACACTGTGGTCTCGCGCTTCAATGAGCTCATTAGAACTAAAGAGCCTGAATTTATAAAGAGGTGACATCTTATCCATTTGACAGGTCTTCTGCTCGATTGGAATGACTTTTCCTATGACTTTGACAGACAATCGATTGTTCCAATTTTGACATGTCGTCTCTTTATAAATTCAGCCTCTTTAATTAGAACAACGCTGAATGGATACGAGCTCATTTATACGGATGGCAGGGGGTAAGTCACTCTGCCACCTTGTGACTGTGTTGATTGTGTCTTTGGGTGTTGGAAAGTGTTTCTGCGTGTTTCTGCATGTCGACCTTGTTGTCAAAACGTTGAGCGAAAATTAATGATTACTGGCAACCATTACATCCACATTTGTTTACAAACAGAATTCTTTTTTTGACGTAGGACTACGCCTTTGATTTCTGTATGGGGGTACATTTTATGAAAACCGAAAATGGAACATGTAACAAATTAAGAAAGATTTTGAACGTTAATAACTCAGCTGCCCCTGGTCCAATTTCAATAATTTTATCACCAATCGATCAGAAATATGGCTACGCATCGATAACAATGCTTTCGAATGTTGATTTTCAACAAGAAACTATTGAAAAACTGGTAAATGTCCAGCATTGTCCAAAAGCGTCGAATTAACTAACAAAACCAATTACCTACATGCATATGCTGCTTCCCCAGCACAGTCGCCAGAGAGTAGTAAGTAGACGAAACAAGTCGAAGTGGCATTCGCCTCCGATCCTCGGGCGCGTGCGAATAGGGAGGATGGACTTGCGTAATATTTAGCACACTCATCGACATATTCGGAACCAAACGCAAATTCTTCGAGATAACCACCATCCGTCGTCTGGCTCGCCGTTGCGGTGTCTGACGTATCTAGAGTCTGATTTACGAGGTGTGCTGAAGGTGTTCCTGAAAAATTAGATCCGTGATGCTGTCACCTACACTAAACACGTCAAGCGTAAGCGGCCATGGATGTCATCTACGTTTTGAAGTGACAGAGACACTCTGTTTGGTTTCGGAGGTTAAATCATCACCAACTTTGGCAACAAAACGGCTCTTTTCAGGGCCACCAAGCTTATTACATATCAGAACCAACGATCACACAAAATGCTCATGTAATCAAACTGGAAGCAGGGGTACAAATTATTTTGATCAACCTTGATCAACTTTGAATCGCCACGGCTGGATATTTTCGATGGAAGAAGCAACAATCTAGCATTTAATTCGACGAAGATGGCAGGAATCATTTGTGAAGCCGAGTTATTTACGAAAGAGAGTGTCGATGAAGATAATCGATCAATGTAGATAGGACCTATTGAAAAGTGACGCAAGATTTGTTTTCCGTACTGAGCTCCAATGCTACCGACGCCAGGGAGGCAGCTCCCACACCTGGACCCTACCAATCGACCCATCAACTCAACCGGGGACTAACGGCTTTTACTTCCCTGATAACCCAGCCGAGCATGCCTCTAAGCAATCTCTTACTCTAAATTTCGCAAAGAATACGAACTTTTTTGTACGCCGCAGCTAGTAGGATGGATTTCTCTCATATGGTATTGTGTATATGGAATTACCAAATTAGAAAGAAATATCTCTTTTCAGTATCAGTCAATAATTGACGTGATAATTGTTATCCGCTCCTTCATTCATACACAGATGCAGATATTTTAGTTTGTTCTAGAGGCTAAATTGTCAGTTCTACTTCCATGTCCTGATCAATTTTCTGTGGAATCCTACAGATTGCTGGAGGGATATGTCTTCTGAAAAAAAAATCAGCCAAAACAAAAAAGGCATCAAACGAATGTAAACATTCTTGGCTCTAGGCAGTGCTGCCAGAAAAGATTTAAAAATTGGTTCTCATGGTGGTTGAAGCAACAATCAATACGAAACTAACGATTTTAAATTGGCTCACTACTTGACTAGCCTATTGGTCCCAAGCAAACGATTAACTTACCCCATTCTAGTGAGGGAAAAGTTCGTAATTTTGAGTAGTTTTTCATCTCCGTGTATGTTTTGTTTTGATTCGCTATGAAAGTTTGACAGACACAATGAGGGGTTCGTGGATTTTCCTATGTTTTAAGGGGTGCATCGATTAGCTTGGGACCGAAGAGCGTACCAGAGCTGAGCCAAAAAGTTGAGCACGTTTCTTCGGGACCTTCTGGTTGTAGAGTTAAGGCCGGCGCACAATAGATACGTTTTCAGGTTTTTCGATAGTTAGCCCATGCATTATCTGTCAAAAAAAACCCGAAAACGTATCTATTATTCATTTTGTTCGACCATTTTCCACAGAGATGGCGGTTCCGCTGGTAGGAAGTGATAAAAATCCCCAGAGAAGAGGGAATAATTCGCTCTCGGTGCATATTCAGGTCAAAACAAGTAAACGACAACCTAAATAAATTAGTCAGGGGCTTTGTCGTTCAGTTTTTCCCGGAAACTAATGCTAAACAAGCTACAATTAAATAAAAATTATTTTTCCCCATGCAATTTTACCTGCTTTACTACCAGTCCCAGAGAGCCAAAAAAATTCAAATTTGAGAGAGAAATTCTCTCTCACGAGCTCAATCTCTCAACATGCCATGTATTTTGTTGACATTCGATTTGTGATTTCCCTTTCACAGATTACAAAATAGAGTACCTGACACTACAAAACATGTCTGGTACCTCTATATATGTATTTGCTTTAACATTTGAAGTCCCTCCTTTTTTACATATTCTGCGCAAAAGAAACTTTTGCCCCGCCCCATACATAAAATTCGGCGGGAATTTATGTGAGGGGTGAGCTAATTTGTGTGCAGAATGTGTAAAAAAGGAGGGACTTCGAATAATAATCTAAATGCATATATAGAGGTACCAGACATGTTTTGCACTGCAGTGTCCTCTGTGAACAATTATAGGAAAACAGATTGTATCTAGTTTCCGATAGATGTCAACGCAAACAACAGCTGTGACATCTGATGGAACATGAATGCAGAAGCTTGACAAAATGATCAATTATTTAAAAGTTTAGTCCATGAAGTGCCTTACAACTTTGCAGATTGATGTATGGTGCTAGAATGTCTCTAAAAAGGTTATAACTGTTAAAATATTTATGGTTTGAATTAAATGCCAAAAATCACTTTCTCTGCTAACACTGCCGGTGTACCAATGGAAGTCAGATTCCAAACTGAAATAATTTCGGAGTTTCTTATCTTATCGATTTGGTATGTTCAGATGAATTATTCAAAAACAATATTGTTCTATCTCATATGCGATGTTGGGAAGGAAAGGGGCTCACTAAACAATTAGTATGGGAAAAGTAGGTTTTCCCATACTAATGCCCAAACAAATTTCAAACACAATGCGAAAAGTCCGGTTACAACTAAATTAGACGATTAAATCGTTCCCAAATTTTGCATAGTTGGAACCAAAAAAGCTTTGTACTGAAAAGCTGTGTAACCTTATTTTCAATTAGTAACATTTGAAACATAGAACTTAGAATAATAAATTGAATGTTTGTTGATTTTGAAATTTAATTTACAAATTAATTTCGTAGCTATATATTCACCGAAAACAAACCACGTCGTGCTTCGGACACAACCCCTAACTTTTTTTTAAACATCCTAGATACTTAAAAACTGATTTCGAAACATTGCTAAAGTTGTGAATTTTTATCGTATGAAGAGATTTCTTTATAATATCTCAGTTCATCAAGACTCTCGTGGACATCTCAGCTGCCTGGGCAGACCCAGAGCTTATGACATAAATTTGACCCAGTCTCATATCAAGACTCAAAGCAAATAATCGCCCAGGATGGAAATCTTTCAAGCTAACCCTTTTAACAACTGAAGACGTAAACAACCAATTCGTTAAACGTAAGGTTTAACCAAACCGAATAAACCATAGCTCATGAAGTATTCAGTCAGTATTGCGTTTTTCGCCACCTTTTATAGACGATAGGAGCCAAAGTGACGACCCGGTTGAATGCGAATCATCACATCATCCCCATTAAAAAAAAGTACTACTCACGACAGTCCAGGAGCGTACATAGACAACAAAACAACAAAGCTGATTATCACAGCCCTCTTCGAAGGTTTACTAATTGCCACTAAACCTTGCAAACAAGCACACTTCTGTGAACATGGCACCGACAGTACCATCCAGTAGTAATAGACAAATACCTCTCCACCGAATGCATTCGATGCATGATGGGTTGATACATTTTCGATAGGCAGAAGACAACGGGAGACGCAGGGCATCCCACCATCGTCGTGGCTGTATTAGAGAGCAAGGGACACACGAAAAAAAAAAGTGAAAGCTGATTGCAGCTCAGCAGCAATAATGTTACCATCGAATTCCCCACGGGATCTGGGTGATAAATTTTTTAGACTCTACTAGGGTTCGGTACTTACGCTATTCCAAGCCTCATGAATGTATCGTATCAGCTCATCGTGCTGAGAATGCTGGAATTGACTTGGCGAATGCTGTTGTTGTTGTTGTTGTTGTTGTTGCTGCTGCTGCTGCTGCTGCTGTTGCTGGTGATGTTGATGTGGACTGGACTGCTGCTGCTGCTGCTGATGGTATGAATGTGATTGATAGCTATCCCGTGGTGGCATTCCACCAGGCCGTCGGGACATTCCCGGAGACGACATCATCGGTCCCTGTCGTCTGTTGAGACGTGTAAAAAACAGCAAAAAATTATTTATCAAAATATTAGAAATCAAAACATTCCAAGGGGGTACGACAAGCAATCAAACCAATCCTCACGCAGACCATAATTTATAGTGCCCCTCTCTCGCTGCCTAGTAGTTACACATATGCGGAAGAGCCAACTACATTATAGATTCCGTACGTGGAAAAAAAAAAGATAAACCACTTACCCAATGCCTCGTTCCATATTTTCCTCCTCGAAAACCTCGAAGAAAATGCAAATCAGGAAATTCTTTTCGCAGATCAACTGCTGGCCGTAGTCGACTGATTCGGATGGATTCCTCACGTAGAACGGATCAAATTGTCCGGGAAAATGCCACTTTCTGTTCGGGTTAAAACTGCAAAAAATGAAAATAAAAGCCCTCTCCACACTCGAAAACTGCTGCTGCCACTTTTGCTTTTGCAGATTGGCTTTTCTCCTTTGTTTTGACAGCAAATCGAAAACCGTCTTGCTCGCTCTCTCTCGGACTCGATGCTTCAAAATGAAAGGTTGCTCGCGGATCTACCACTATCGCAGTGAAGGTGCGGATAGTGGAACGGGTGTTTCGCGGGTGTGCGCAGGGATTTTTGCTCGAACGCGAAAATGGCTTGAAACGCGCGGTGGCGAGGATGGGTGGACAGTGTTCGGAACTGGCGAGATGTTTATGTGCGAGAAGGTAATGAAAACAGAACTGCGAGTGGCAACGGAATCAGCTGTCAAAAATCCGTTAAAGCTCAGCCGCCCGTTTGACTTATGTCAAATGTCAACGGGCAGAATATTCCCATGCAACAAAATAACTCTAATTATTCAAGGGGTCCCCAGTCAGTGCACACTCAGAAAATATTCAAATCTAAATAGTATAAAAGCTACGCTAAATCGCAACTCTCCCGACCGACGCATAGCTCGGTATAAAGGGAGAAAATACATACTTAGTATAAAAGTTGTTTATACGGACGCGAGTATAAATCCATGTTATGTCCCTTTTGTATAGTTTGACTTTATGCTTGAGTTGCTTATTCTGGATATATCTGAAGGGTGATAATAATTGTTTGTTTTCTTTCACGGTTAAATAAATAAAAGTTTGCAAAGCAACTAATTATTTTTATTTCGAGAGAAAATTACAATATAATAATTTGTTACAGCGTAGTGAGTTTCAATTGATGTTCTGCAGAAGGAAGTCGTTATATCACTGCAGGATCTTCCATTTGGCCATTGCGCATCAGGTGAAATCGATCAATGTACCTCATTGAAAATCGATGTTCTCCAATCGGGAGCGCAGTTTATCAAAGGTGTCGTAAGGCATAAAAGCTCTGACAATATCCGATATGGTACGCAGGATCTTCCACTCCTCGCGAGCCAGACCTGGGAGAGTAACTGCAACAAGAATTTTCTTAGTGCGGCCTTCCGTGTTGATGTAGGTGCATTGTCTTTTGGTATAGGTATCTTCCGGCAAGATGGCGTGGGCCAGTTGCAATCCAACATCACCTTGGTGTCCAATCTGTGGAAAATAGTTCCTTCTTGATGACACTAGCGTAGTGCACTAAGATTCAGATCCTAAACGCTTCGACATTGGCCAATCCTCCAGCAACTGATCCACGTTGCCCTTGGGACCGATTCGTATTCGACTGTTTCCATTCGGGTTGCGCAGCATGCTGGCAATGCAACGCTGGTGTTCAACCCACAAGTGGTTCTACTTCCGCTTACTACCCAACCGTTGGATGCTGGTGTATTAACGATGAAAGCCGAATCACCGAATGAATCACTTCTTCTGCGTAAAACGCAAACAAAAACCACGAATTAAAAGGAATACTTTAGTTGAAGGAATTAACTGCGAGTGACCGAGAGGGTTATGATGTTTTTCAACATACAAACATCCAAATTCTAAATTAACGGTATACACTGAACGAATCCCAGCCCAATATTTGGACTTAGTATAATTTTAAAGAAAATTTTAATCGGATTAATGTATAAACAATGCTTAACCATAAAATGATTAAATTTTAATCTACGTACGTTTAGTAATAAATTTGAGTATACTTCTGAGTGACTCTATGGCAGCTAGTGAGCACACTAGAGCCATCTGCTTTATAGTAGAAGAAATATGCTTGTTTATTTTGCGCGGGAAATTTTTCCTATGCATTTGACGTGGTGGCTATCTCGCGGCTATCTTCGCCTGCGCGTTATCACCATCACCAGACTCTAATAAATTATAAGCGGCGCAATATAAATTTTTAAAAACCATAAAATGCATAAAATTTAATCTATATTCGTTTTGTACACTGATAAATTGAACTATTCCCATTTTGCTTGAAATTTAATCAATTTGACATTAAACTCAGTTTAATCATATCGAATGATTAAAAATTAATCCTCTTTCTAAAAAATAAGCATCTGATATTAATCCCAGTTTAATCATGGTTGATTAGATTGTAGATTATCTCTTTTTGAATATTTTTTAATTATTTTTGATTCTATTTTAAACATTTTTGATTGGATGTTAATCTTTTTTTTTTTATTACATATCAGTATTGAAAAAGAATAAAATTTAATAATGGAAAGATTATTTCGATTTTAATCATGCATGACTACCCGCATAAACGCGAACCATAAATTGACCTTACCTAAAATGGTTAAAAATTGTTTATAATCCCTGCTAAACTTTAACTGAAATGGTTATGGAACTTTACATGAACGTTTAATGATAAAGTTTCAACCTTATGTATTATGGTTTTTTGGAAGGGGACCTTACAAATAATGGGTTGTTAAGAACCATTACCATTCCAAATTCTTGTTTTCTCCATACATTTTCGGAAAGAGAACTATATTAGAACCTTTTAACTTATGGTTTGAGAACTTTAATGGTAATGGTTATGGTAGTCAGTAAGGTCCACGAATGGTTTTGTAACATCGATCAACTTTATGTGGAATATATCGCGAATAGGTTGCCTGTAATTTACTGATTACCAATTCACGATATATTCCACGTAAAGTTGAGCGATAATACAAAACCATTAATGGACCTTACTGACTACCATAACCATTACCATTAATGTTCTTAAATCATAAGTAAAAACGTTCTTATATAGTTCTCTTTCTGAAAATGTATAGAGAAAACAAGAATTTGGAATGGTAATGGTTCTTAACAACCCATTATTTGTAAGGTCCAGTTCCAAAAAACCATAATACATAAGGTTGAAACTTTATCATTAAACGTTCATGTAAAGTTCCATAACCATTTCAGTTAAAGTTTAGCAGGGATTATAAACAATTTTTAACCATTTTAGGTAAGGTCAATTTATGGTTCGCGTTTATGCGGGTACTGCCAAAGTAATCATAGCTCGGACTCAATAAGGTGAAGCGGGAAACGGCACACTTTTTAAGTAAAGAGCCTGAATTTGTAAAGAGACGACATCTTATCCATTTGACAGGTCTTCTGCTCGATTGGAATGACTTTTCCTATGACTTTGACAGACAAGCGATTGTTCTATTTTTGACATGTCACCTCTTTAGAAATTTAGCCTCTTTATTTTTAAGCTTTTTTGATTTAATTTATCTTTGAGTGTAATATTTTTTGAGTGCAACGAGTTTTTTGTGCTGCAAGGGCCCAGCACGCAAATTCAAATCTCCATCCAGCCGCCGAGTTCGTTAGCCGCCCGCTGGCGATGGTTGAACTTTTCCACCGGTCGATCCGTTTCTGCGTTGTTCTCAATTTGAGTCATTTCGCTTTGTGACGGGCATCGGCTAGCACTTACGGCAGTCAGCGGCGGTAGCAGCAGCAGCAGCAGCAGCAGACAGAGGCTAAACAAAATTTGTACTCCCTTTGCTCGCGTTCTTTTAAATGGCGGTCTTTTGAGACGGTTCTCAAGTTCGCGGATTAAATTGTTCTGTTTCGTCCAGTTGCGCTATCGGTGGTGGCAAATAAAAAGTAGTTTTTCGCGTGTTGGATTGTGCTGTGTGTGTGTTCCGTATTTTCCCGGTGGAAAAGTGTCGCCCGTAAAAGTTGGACGGTGGTAAAAAAAAAAAAGTAATTGCGCTTGGGCATTTTTATCGTTGCGGTGCAGAAAAGCTAGAGTGTTTCATTTCCTGCAGTTAGCGTCCGAGTGATATTTTTCACCGTTTAATCAACAACCGGAGGCGTTTGCTAGCGATCGGCATGGCCGACATCAGGGTAAGTTGCGTAGTTGTTGAAAAAAGGTGCTGTGTGCTTGGTTTGCAGCAGAAGCTTCCCCCGGATAGGTACGGCATAAGGGGGTGGGATGAGTTGGTGGACCAATTGACGGATGCGGGGGATGAACAGCAACCGACGAGCCTAAAATGTGATAGTAGGAATAGCACTAAGAACGCTAGCGCTTCCCATCAGTTGAGTAACCACTGTTGTAAATGCAATATTGTGGCACCCTTATCGAAACTAACATGTTGTTTCTTGAAATTATTTAATCTAGTTCGGTTCGCTTATAATTCTTGCATTATTTTTCATCCATACCGGTGAGCGATGGAATTTTAGCCATATTATGCCGCCATTTTCGTTGTGGCCCATCTGCTTGCTGCTCTCGTCCTAGTAGCTCATCTTAAGCAAACCCCACACGTATTAATATATTGACGCGAAGGGAAATTATTGACAATAATATTGTTGATGTGAATACAGAATTATTGTTAATACCGATGAATTGACGTCAATATATAATGTATTTACAATTCGATTATTGTCAATAAAAGCAATCGTGTGGGGTCCACTTAAGCCAGGTCTGCCCAACCTTTCTAAACTTGATTTTTTTTTGAATGGATTGATTGATGGATTAACATGTTTCAAGATGCATTATGTTTATTTCTCATTCATTCATTCATTCATAATGATGAATAAAATGATATCCTTGCTTAGACTAGAGACGACGTTCGGCCGCACGATGGGCAGCGCTGACTTAAGCGAACCCCACACGTATCAATAATTGATGCGAAGGGGAATGATGGACAATATTATTGATGATGCGAACACATGTGAATTATTATTAACATATAAGGGGTAGTTCAACGCTCTGAATTAAATAGTAACGTTGTGATTTTTCTAAAAATATTCGGAAAAGATAACAATAATCTAAAAATAAACATTTTTTTTTTCTAATTTCTTAAGGAAAATTCTCATGCAAAAACATCTTTTGAAAGTCATCATGGAATAGTGAAACTTAAAAAATCTAAAATTTTTCTTGGATTTTTGATAATTTTTTCCCAAAAATTTTAGAAAAATAAAAACGTGCCGAAAAAAAATAGATTACTTTTTCGAAGAGACGTTTCAGCTTTTGTAAACAATGCATTTGATCGTCGATTTCGCGTAACTGGTAGCTCGCCCACACATACTAACACCACTATTAGGTAGGGGAAATTTCCACTGTACGATTATTGGCAATAAAAGCAATCGTGTAAGGTTCACTTAAGAAGGCAGCAGCCAGGGTAGGCTCGTGGGTAATTTATTTTTGCTTCCCTTCTCTGCCTTTGTTGATGTAGGATGTAGCTGATGCAGGCCTCTTGCGTTCTTTCAGGTTGTTCTTTTGATCAGGAGGGGTTGCTTTCCGTTTTACGTAGGCAGTGTTGCCGATGCTTCTATGCGTGTTTATTACAAAATCGTTTTCCGAAGGCTTGATTCAAGCGCAACACTGTTCATATCCTTTGGTTTGTTTTTTTCCGTCGATCTTGTTTTCCGTGCTGAGCACCAACCAATGCTACCGACGTGCCAGGAAGGCAGCTCCCACACCTGGACCCTACCTATCGACCCATCAACTCATGAACCGGGGACCAACGGCTTTACTTCCCATCCGAAGGAAGGCGTGATCAGAGATGTTATGCCTCAGAACATCCCGGCGGCGCCGACTGGGATTGAACCCAGGCCTGCTGGGGTGAGAGGTAATCACGCTTACCACTACACCGCCGGCGCCGTTGTCACTGTTCATAACGACGCATCTGCTTTTGTAAACAATGACTTCGGTTGTCAAATAGAGTCGACAGTTGTGTCGTAACTGGTGTAACTGGTAGCTCGTTCACGCATACCAGCACCACCATCAGGTAGGAGAAATTGTTGTCCCAACTTTCAACTTTCCCGTCTGCATTAAGGCTGTGAATCATTTTTTTAGCTTAATGATTCTGCGCACCTCCAGGGGTGCAAAGGGCCTTTGTGAAAGATTTTCATCCTGGGCGATTACTAGCTTTGGCCTTGACCTGTGCCCAAGTCAAATTTCGGTCAACGTTCTTAATTTCACTGTTTAGGCTCCGCCGCCACGAGCCTCTGGGTCTGCCTCTGCTTCGATGTTCTGCTGGATTCCAGTCCAGTGCTTGCTTGCATATTTTGTTTCCGCTCCGTCGTAGTGTGTGGCCGACCCATCTTCACTTCCGTTCACGAATTTCTGTCTCTATCGGCTTCTGATGGCACAAACGATGAAGCTAGGAATTTGAGATCCAATTGTGGGGCCACCAGGCACGAATTATGTACCGCAGGCATCGAGCTTGAGCTTGATTGACCGCCCACGGTTGCTACTCTGTTACTGCCAGATCAGCTGTAATTACACAGAGAACCAATAGACGATGCTTGGGACTAGCAATCATCCTCAATATGTAAAAACTGGTGATCTTAAATTAGGCAATACCAGCGCCGGCCGCGCCCGAACACAGGTCAAGAAAGGAATGGGAAGGATTGTGTTGACATGACACTCGCTTTGATGGAAGCCGAGAACACCTCTGCACTTCCACGAGGAATCACTGGGATGTTGGATAAGAGGGTTGGGTTTGCAGCAGGGTTCGTTTTGGTAAACGATAAGCTGAATTGATGTCCTAACGATCATATAACGCGAAGGAGCTTGGGACTAAACCCACGGTCTTCTGCTCAGTAAGCAAAAACGTTTGCCACTAGGCAGACGAGCACCTTTTTAATCACCGAGTTGCTGTTATTACCATGTAGTCATATTAACAAATAAAAGGATTGACGAATCTTGAATGTGGATGGGCCTGAGATTAGACTTATGATGTTCTGCTCAGTAAGCAAAAACGGTTGCTCTAAGGCCACCGAGCCCCTCATATCACATAATACCGTTGCTCAAATTTTTGTATCCATTCAATCCCGGAACTAACGACAACAACGAGTTTCGCAAAATACACGATACACAAGCGATTTTACCATAAATCTCTCTGATATGTAAGGACCTGGGACCGCGTTTTCCTGCTCAGTAAGCAGGCCACTGTAACCGACGATCTCTCAAATCCGAAAACGAGTTAAGCGAGTTATAACGACCTTCTTCCACTAGCAGGTCTGTTTCTGTTTGCACAGATAGTCCCACTAGTTTCCGATACATTTATAGGGGATAGTAGGAGATTAAAAGAATGGAGAAGAGTTATAGAGGTTTTTTTTGTAGTTGTTTTGCTGAAAAGAGAGAAACAGAACTAAACGAAATTACACCTGTTGAAAAAAGATAAGTCTATTATTTTGGTTAGTGATCGTTTGGATTTGGGTCACCCCACGTTGTGTTTAGGTTAGTATAAATAAATAATACTATATAGTCATATAAATCTAAATCACCACAGCTCATTATCTTCAGCGTTATCGGCGTTTCTGGATCTTTAGTTGCCTCTGTGATATACTTACTTGCGGCATACTATTTTGGGAGTGTATATGAGCGTGTACCATGTACGGTAGCTCATCTCTCATCGTGATGGTGGGACATAGTAGACAAATTAGAGAGAAAACAAGGAGGTATTAGTATTAGTTATATGTAAACAAACAAAACAAAAGAAGAGAAGAGGAAAGAAGAGCAGAAAAATAAAAAGGGGATAAAGTAGATAACAAAGAAAAGAAACGTAGGCAGATTATTAGAAAAGGCATTATCCGAGACTCAGCAATCAAATGTCACTCCCGCCGAGATCTCAGCGAAACCCCCTTCCCGCCGAGACCCGCACAGCCGAGCTCGGTAGAAAAAAACTAAGTGTGTAGATAGATTAGTAGGAAAATAAATAAAACTACTTTATGACTCAAAGTGCAATGAATGAGCGTTAGTTTCGGGATCATTTCAGTGTTAGAGTTATGTTAGTTTTGATCCGTAATCAGCCCTGCCGACCCCTCAACATTAGTTGCAGGCAGTGGTTGTTAGATAATGCGGCACTGTAACTACTACTATTTTAGAGGTATGATTCGTCAAGTTTATACAACTCTATGTTTCAATTGAGGCAAACTATCTATCTTACAATTACAAAAGCAAACCTAAACTTACAATTATATGCAAATGCAAAATGAAACTTGACAAATCATCGTCAATCCCCTTATTACAGGGCAGGGCCTGACGATTTGAATCTAATTTTGATCAGTGAACGGGCACCATAAGGTACATTTTCTCACCATGAACCTATCATTTCCAGCCTATCTGAACTATTTAATAAATGGAAGCCATCACATGGGTTACGCTCCCCCTAAGCAGGCCCTCCGCATCCTGTCTCTGTCTTATCTCAAATACAAAATGCCAATGGTATGAATGTATCTATATATAACTTGGAAATGACGTACAATCAAATAAACCCGTAACCCACTCACTTGGTCAGGCTTCAGAATCGTCCAGTGGGCAGTGCGCTCTATACTCCAAGTTACCTTTTTTTTCAAATTTACCGCAAATTTGATATTTTACCCATTGAGTGTATATGGTCCTATTTAGGATTATATCTGATAAATCCAAATCTGGTTTAACGCCCACCCTAAACCTAAACCTGTTCTAATCCACCTGAAATGACTAACGAATGGAAGACTTTGACTACCCAGCCATGCAATAGTCTCATTCCGTGCCTTATGGCAACTTGATGATTCTATTGCGCTCATCTTCTGGCACCACCCAGGGGAGACTTGGTCCTGTACCCAATGCTTAACTTATCTCCTTTCCACTCAGCTACTCGCAATTTCTTGTGATATAGTGGGCGGAATATTATTATATGAGACAATTCAATGCAGACGTCTTTCCAAATTTGGCAGATCGACAGGTAATCGGTGAGTTACCACGATAGTTGCTATTCAACAACTCGACAACATTCCATCGTCAACGCATGCTATGAGAATTTCCCATTGCAGACGCCAACGAAATGACGTCATCGAGCTATCGATCAACTATCCTGGTTATCGCCTGGTACCTTATAGCACGATGCTAGGAG